TACAGTTCCGGTGTAGGCACAGGCAAGTTAACAGACTCCATCGCACGAGTGGTTTCAGAATACAAACAAGCCACTTCTAAGCACGATGTTAGCTCTTTACGAACTATAGACCATGGCAGCTTAACTGCCTGAATTAAATGTGCGCTACAGCGGACTAGATTAAAATCGGAATCACATATAATGGTACCGATGCCAAACCCCGAGGCATCACAAAATAAGTAGAATGTGGAATCCGCAGCCAGCTTTAGTACTCGAGGGATAGGTAGAGAATTGTCGAAGTCCATCATAGTAGCCTGTAGTGTCTTGAAGGCTTCAACACCAATGAACTCGTCTAAATCAGACACCGGATCTTTCTCCAGTTCACGCCTCAAGATAAGACGCATACGGAGTAGCAAATTACTTTGGAATCCCAGCGGATCGTAACACTGAGCAATTAAGCTCATAACGTCTCTGCGTGTGAGAAGGACCTTGTCCTCGGATAGGGCCAAGACACAAGGTGGGAAGTTAGGGCCTTCACAATCGGAAAGTGTGTCGCTAGGGTTCCATCTCAAGCCGAGTACCTTACAAGGATGCTCGGTGGGGACTCCAATACGACACTTCTTAGGCTGACAACGGAAGCCGTATTTACGGCACACAGAGAGAAGAATTGTAACAGCCTCTAACAGCAACTTCGGACATGAACAAGTAACGATCAAGTCATCCATGTAACCAGAATAAACAACGAAGGCCTTACTTCCGAACTTAGCAAAGAAAGTAGCTTGAGCTTCTCGACAGATGAAGGATACAGCATGCTGCAAAGCTGCAGCGCTGTGAGGACTCCCCATAGGCGGAGAGATGAGGCGATAAATATCATCGCCCCAAGCGAGGCAAAAAAGGAAAGCTACCTGTGGATCCGCTGAGTTCCTCAACTGATAATATGCACATTCTAGATCTAGCAAAGCGACAGAAAAGTGCGAGCGAAATGCTAGTATATGAGGCAAAGTTCCTCTCAAGATGGAATCACAGGGCCTGGTTTTCCCTAGGCCAGAGCCTATGAGACCACGGAAGATAGTGCCATTTAGCACCGGCCGGACCGGAGTAGAACGTGAGGGGCTGAATACCGCAAAATGGTTGATGAGCCCTGTCACTTTGGCCCATTCTGATTTATCAACCCTCACTAAGACACCCATATCGATATACCGTTGAAAAACTTTAGCATAGTGATCAAACGAGCCTTCTTCTTTCAACTTATTGGCAGATACTCTATGCCTCGTTATGCATCTCTCAATGTCGGCAACAGTCGGCTTAGCCAATCTCCTAGATGTCAACCAAGGGATACCATATCGGAA